CGCGCCGTCGGTGTCAGCATCGGCGTCGTCTGTCGTCGTCGCCAACGTCGTCGTCAACGTCGTCGTTGTCGTCGTGGTCGTCGTAATTGTCGTTGGCGTCGTCGTTTTCGTTTCGTCGTCGCCGTCGTCGTTGTCGCCGTCGTCGACTTCATCGGGCCTACGCAGCACCCCCCTTCACGTGGAGCATTTGCAGTGCGTCGTCTGTCGTCGTCGTTGTCATCGTCGTCGTCGTTGACAGCGGGCCTACGCAGCACACCCCCACCCCTGGGGCACCCGCAGTGCGTCGTCGTCGTCGGCCACGACGAGTACTACAGCGGGCGGGCGCAGCACACACACACACACACACACGGAGCAACCGCAGTCCGTCGTCGCCGCATCGCCGTCGTCGACGTCGGCGTCGAGGTCGGAGACTGCAGCGGGCCTACGAAGCACCGCCCCCCCCTTATTGGGGGGCATCCGCAGTGCGTCGTCGTCGTCGTCGCGTCGTCGTGGTCGCAAGACATGTTGTAAGACGGGGGGCAGGGGGCGGGAGGGGGAAGGGGGGACACGGCAAAACGAGAATTTTTCGCCGCCTGCCTTTGCCAGTCCCTCCCTGGTTCCCTACTTGTATGTGGCCATGGCGGCGACGCCCGCCACCGTGAGGCGTCTCCAACCCCGGCCCCTCATCCTTTCGTGTCTGTATCCATTGTGGCCCAAGCGCCCCGCTGTATTGGAGGCGTTGTTGTCTCCCCACTGAAGCGGCGCCGTTTGCGTCGCGCCTGTCGCCCTCCTGTTAGCGGCGCCACACCATCTGGCGGGTGCCACCCCGCGATTCGCCCGAGCAGGGAACAATTAGTTCACTCACGCGCTGGGCTTGTTTTTGCTAGGCACAAGCTGACATCACCGGGCCCCGAGGCCGTCCAAGAACAAGTCAGGACAGAAAGCCGGCCCCCTCTGCTGGAGTTTTTAACATCAGGGGCGCCGCCGAGGGAACAAACTTTCTGTCGCATGCCTGGGTACGCTATTTTCGGGGGAGGAAGGTATACCGATGCCGCTCCACGTCCCTCGTCGACCGATGCCGCTACACGTCCCTTGCCGTCACGCCAGCATCCTGGGAGGGGCCCAGGGAGTAGCGACAATTACTTTTCGGCGCCACCGTGGTACCCTGGTCTTGGGGCCCAGCTGCCTGAGGGAAGCACTTCCCAGTCAGGCAAGTCGCGCCCACCTTCAGCTCTGACGGCGGTTGGGAACTTTCGACAGGAGGAGTGGGCAGGCAGGGCCGCCAACGATCCGATTCGATGCGATCCGATTCGCCTGCTGGGACTGCGATTCCGATTCGATCTGGAGCCCCTCGGTTCACCGACATCGGCCGGGGTCAGCCGGAGGCCGGGCGCGGCGATCCGTACGATCCGATTCGAGACGGCCCGTTGGCGATTCGACTCGTGCGGCTCGATGCAGCGTAGACCCGGCAGGGTTAGGAAAAGGGGGGCCTCCCAGCCTGAGGAGCTGATGGCCACGGAGAAGTACATCATGTCCCTGCACTCCGAGTGCGATTGGCTCATACAGTATCCATTTGCGCTGCCGCACGGTTCCGCCACAGACACAGTTGTTGTGGGCGGCGGGTGGGGGGCGGGAAAAGGCGGATGAGGGGTGCGGGGCACGCCCAAAAACTCCACACGTCGGAGAAGGAAGACACTGCATAAACACAATTGTTCGGAAATCCGCGCGGAGTTTCGAAAACCTATGTTGATGCAGTTTTTCTTCCTCGTCTCGGCATGACCCCAGAACGCCTGATACACATCGGCGGCTGAGGCCCCCCCCCGTCGGAGCTGCATGGCTGCACTTCGGGGCCACGCAGGTTTCGGTGGGGCGTCGCAGAGTTGTCTTAGCGCTGCTGCGGGAGTCCCTCGCAGCGAGTTGGGGCCGTCTAGAACGGCCTTGGTGTCATCTGGGGGACGTCCAGGGACGGCCCGAGACACGGTGACGGGCGACACGGAGGCAAAAGGAGGGCGACAGGGCATAGGCAAAGTCGCCTTGCAGAGGGGAGGGGCGCCACATTCAACCCGCATAGTAAGCATGAGCAATCTCCCAACGCTACCCCTTGCATCCTTGCCCTTTCGGCCGTTCACGTGGCCCTCCCAGGCCCTTGCATCCTTACCGCACATTTTTGCTATACGGGTTGACTGTAGCGCGTGGGGAGTGGGGAAAGGCATGGGCGTGCGACCACACACGACTGGGCTGAAACACCGCATGTTTGGAAGGTTGTTGTCCGCGCTGACAGGAGATGCGTCGGCCGAGTGTCCCGCGTTGTGTGAGAGCCGTGGACTGTTTGCAACCGTGTGTATCGTGTGTGTGGCCTGGTGGAGTTTGCAGTCGCATGTCATCCTTCAGCAACTTGGAGCCGCCATTCGGGGCTCGTGCGTGGAGTCCGCCATGGGCGACCGCCCCTTCCTCTCTCCTCCTTCCAGGGCCCTCGCTCGTCCTCTTCCCTCCCCCCCAGGGAGCGAGATTGGACGTTATGACCTGGCGAAGAAGCCAGGAGTGGCCCAGGCGTCTCACGAGGACGATCTGACTTGGTGCCCCCAGAGCTCGATTCGATTCGCCCTCAAGGCGGGGCAAACGTGGCACGCACTGGCACCACCCCTGGCTGGGTCGGGGGTCGGCGGCTTTCGACGTGCGCAAGGATAATGCTCATTTTCATCTCGTGCACGCGTATCCGTCAGTCTCCCTCATCATGACGATTGCTATCACACCGCGATTGGCTATACGCCTATGCCTCAGAGACCACCCTTCGGGTGAGAAGGGGGCTGTGTGTGTGGGCGGGGGGAGATGCGGGAGCAACTTTCGGTTTGCGATTCGCGCCGCATCGGGTTCGCAATCTGCACTGACCACTCTGACCCTCCCCCAAAAAACAGTGCGTATGTCGATTCGATCGATCCGATTTGATATCGGTTTCGGCCGTCTTGATCCGATTCGATTTCGATCTTCAGCGGTCCGATGCGGCCCGATGCTTGATTACATCGTGCTGCTGTCCATCCTGGCGCAGCCGATCCGATTCGATCCGCTTTCCCGATTCGACGCTGATTCTTCATCTTGCAAACCCTCCGTACCCTTCGCGGGCATGGCGCCGCCCCTGCAGAGACGGCCCCAGCCCCGCTTAGATGGGCCTGCCTCCTCTCTGGGAGCGGGAGCGGGGTCGGGGTCGGTGGGAACCTCGTCGTCGTCGCGTCTTGGGGTTGTCAAGGCAACGTTGTAGGTGTTTGGGTGTCTTCGTCTGTTCTTCGCGGTTTTGCAGCCTCGGGGTGTTCTCCAGCCGTTGTGCCTCGCCAAGAGCGTTCCAGAGGTGTCCAGATCGTCCCGAATGGCCGCCAAGTAGCCGATATGTAACCCGAAAACCAGGGGGCAACGTTGGGGGGGATAGGCTCAGGAGGGGATGCATTGTCTCCCGATCGCCCATTCATCGCCGATCGGGGGCCCGATAGTCCACCCCGCCAGAAGCGTGCGGATTCGCCATCGGTGGCATACCGCCGATCTATCGGCGATGTATCGACCTTGCAAGGTCGATGCCTCTCCCCCTGAGCCAGTCCCCGCTATGGTGGGTTAATGCGGCGATAGCGCGCTGGTGACGCTGGCGAAGGCGTTCAAGGTTGAACTCCGCATGATGGAACGACGCGGAAGCACTTCGGGCATTGTAACCCGTAATGCCACAGGACCCGATGAAGTTCGGCATGGAACGATCGAGGCCGCGCTCGGTCTAACGTTGAACGATCGACGCGGTGTCAGAAACCTTTGCTCGCGCCGACGCCGCACTAACCTACCTTATCGTTGCCCCTGGGGACTGCAGTCCAGGCGCGAGCTCGACCGCAGTCCCCTCGGCCGCGCGGCCTGCGGGCGCGCGACCTGGAGTTGCCGGTCCACTGCCATCGGTCGCCGCCAGGGTTCAGCCAGTTTTTTGCTGGAGCCGATGCTCTCCTGGGTCGTCCACCACACGGGCTTAGTGGCGGGGCCGGGCACGAGTGAGCAGGTTTTTACACCACCCCTGCCCAGGGCGCCGGCGACGATGAATTGCACTCTTCCCCTCTTTGCCCTCATGCTGAATCTGACGTTGGCGTGCTGTTGTGCATGCGCTCATGCATGTGACCTGCAACCGATGTGCTGTCTAGGCACGGCTCCTGACCTGAACTCTTGACCCAGACATGTTGGCGTCGTGGAACATGACGACGGGAGATTGAATGGCCGGCTTTGGCCTCCAGGAGCCCTCACCAGGCCGCGGGGCCGTCAGTTGACAGCTCGGGATGAGAAACATGCCCTGCAGAAAAGGTCGGGTCATCATTGGACCCAGCATTTTATTGTTTTACTATTGACATGTGATGCCTGGGAGGGGAATCTCGGAGGGTCTACCAGCGCCCGACTTGGCCACAGCATTGGCCGGCACATCGTCGCCATCGCGCAGCGTAGTTTCGCCCGAACGCGCAGTTCGAACCGAGACCGCAGCCGATTTCGCGGCCACTGGCCATTCCGCTAGGGGTCACGCTGCGGCCTAAATCGAGGGACAACAAATGGCATGAACATAAGTTGTCTGAGCTCCGCGCGGAGCTCCGAATGTTTCTGTTTGTGCCACTGTTTGTCTCTCGACCAACATCAAACGAGGTGCCAGTCTTTGTGGTTCAGGTCACCGTCGGGGGCGCGAAGGTGAGTGCAACTCGTGCCTCGCGGTCTGGGCCGGAGAGCTGTTCTTCTTCGGGTAAGCCGATGTAGAGCGCGAAGATCGGCTACACGTAAGAGCGACCCTTCGCCAGAGTGCCCCTGGGTGCGCTGCTTTCTGAGGGCGCGGCAGGGGGGGGGGGCAAGCCGAGGCACGCAGACCACTACTGCCGCATCGCATGCAACGATCGGCCCGCTGCGCACCGAGAGTCGCACCTCGCCCTCCGCGCAGCGCCAGTCGCGGATCGGAGTGCTCATAAACAAGAGCTGTGTGCTTGCTTTGTCAGCGGCAGCGCGCTGCGCTCGTCCTCAGGAGGCCCGCGCGGACGAGATCGACAGCCTGAAGAACGCCAAGGCGGTCCTCAGCGGCGCCAGCTACTCTTTCCTCCAGGACGCCAGGGCGCGCAGGGGGAGTGCGGAGAGCAGCAGCACAGGAAAGGGGAGCGGAAGGACGAGCGGAGGAATGCCAGCAGAGACAACGCCAGCCCCCCGCCCCATGGCGTGCTTCGTCCTTCCTGCCAGAAGTGTCCCGTCACTGCCCATGGGTCGGTCGTTGAAAGTGGGTTTCTGTTGACCCCCAGATTTCCATGTGCTTTAGCCGCCCTCCTACTTCAATCATCGAGCGGTTTCCCCTTGTCCTTCCTTTTTCATGTTATGTTTCTACCCACTTCTTCCGACCGATGCATCCCTGATCCCCCACTGGAGAAAAACAAAACAAAACAAACAGCGTCGGGAGGTCTGGGGGGGATCGGCCCGACGCGGGTGCCTGTCAGGACCTTTTCCTCCTCGGAGTTCCCCGATCCCCAAGGGTGTGACTGGTTCTGTCTGGGCGTGTCTGCAACATGTCGGCCTCTGGCGCCCGTGGAGCCGCCCCCCTTCGACGGCCAAGAGATGCATCTGGGACGGAAAAAGCTGATTGCCCCGAGGGCGCCGCGGAGGCATCAGCGATGCAGCGCGATTTTCCAGCCCCGCCTGCTCGGACCCCCTTCTGTCGGGGGCCCCCAAGCGGGGTGGTGACTGCACCGTGCGGTGAGTCTGTGGGGATTCGGGGTCGCCGCACGGTTTTGGGACTCGGGTCGTTCTCCGAGGACGTCTCGGGCGACAGGGGCCTCTGGGGTCCCAAGACCGTGCGGTGACGGAACGTGCGGTGAGGTCTTGGGATTTCGAGGTCACCGCACGGTCTGACGCCGCACCATTTCGGGACTCGCAGGTCTGGGAGGCCTCCAGGGGGGGGGGGGCAGGGGGGAGGGGGGGGGGAAGGGCGCCGCCGCGGATGCGCGCGTCGCGCGGGCTTCTCTGCCGCGCCCAGCAGCCCGCTGGCGCGACGGAGAAGCTCCCAGCCTGCGCGGTGCAGCCAGGCATCTGGGCAGGCAGGCGCAGGGCCAGGGCGCTTCGGGGAGGGGCAGGGTGAAGTCGGGCCTGTCCCTCTACAGGAGGGATGTTCAAAAGTAGTCATGAAATAGTATGGGGACGGTCATTTGACTATGTTTGAACATTTTGTCGATATATGTTGCAATGCTTTATTGTTCGCCCCAAATCCGCCTGTAGGAGGACACGCCCGACCTGAGACTACTGGGGGGTGGCTATCATGGCCAGGGCCACAATAGGTCCCCAGAGCTCATGGCCCGCCCTGCTTCTCTCAAGCCGTCCCTTGGTGCTCCCCCCGCGTCCGCGCACATGTCTCCGGCCACTGTTTGGGTCCCCCTCTCTTGGACGCTCCCCTCCTGGACGCCCCCGGGAAACTAGGTTCGCCACCGCCACCGCGAACAGCATAGTGAACATTCTTCGGGGTAGGTTTGCCAGCATGAGACGTTCAACACAATATGTGCACTGCGTTTCGGGCGAATGTCTGTATACGAATGTATATTAATGCGTCTCCCAGGGCGGGGGGGGGGAGGAGGGCTGGGGGCGTCCAAAATTCCAGGTCCCCGAAGAGAAGATATATTGTTCTCAATCCGAGCGTTTCCCCCTGAATTCGTCCTCAGGGACAATCAGAAATGGATGGATGACGAAAGGTGGCCCCGGGAAAGGTGTCGGGACCTCTGAGGCCGCGAGTTGAAACCATCATATGAGAGCGTGTCTTGGGTCGGGCGCGCCCTGGAGGTCTCGGCGACCTCTCCCTTAGGAGCAGGCTGTCGTCCCAGACCTGATTCTGATATCCCTGGAGCTTGGGCACATGCCCCCCCCCAGAGGCTGACTCTTTCAGCAACATCAGCAAAAGGTGTTCATTACACCAAATCGCGGGAGTAGAAATTATCCCGTGAAAGAGGCAACGGGAGGCGGGAGGGGAGGAGGGAGTAGGAGCAGGAGGGAGATGGAGGAGGGGTGAGGAGGAGGAGGAAGAGGAGGGGGAGGGGAAGAAGCCGCCATGGTTCGATCCGCGATTAGACCAGCTCTAGTCGAGTTGAGGCTGCCAGCCAGGCCCGCCGCCGATGCCGAGCAGGCATACCTTCTCTGGCTGCCACGGAGGTCCCCCCCTGCAGGGGAAATTTAAGCTCTGCACGGGAAGGTTTGCTCCTGGGCCGTGGCGGAGGAGTTGCAGGACCGCATTGGTGACGGAAATAGCTTTGACGAAGACCAGCCGCTGCTTTTGCCCACTCTGAGCAGGATTCGTTGTCGGTGTCGCCGCGGGGTCTGTTGGGGCAGACGGTGCCTGCCCAGAAGCGGCCGCTGTCGGTTTGGGGCAGCATTCGATACTGGGCACTGCCCAATTTGTTTCGTCCCCGTTTCGGGCGTGCCACGAGGAGGGGGAATTTTGTCCCCGTGGCGGCTTGCGGGGGACCCGGGACCATAACCCCAACGCCCAGGGGTTCTCCTTGGTGACGGGGTGGGGACCCATTCGGGTGCCCCCGGGCTTTCTCTGGGAAGGGAGGAGGAGGGAGGGAGGGAGGGAAGGGAGGGGGGGGAGGAGGGAGGGAGGGAGGGAGGGAGAGGGAGGGGAGGAGGGAGGAGGGAGAGGAGGAGGAGGAGGAGGAGGAGGAGAAGGAGGAGGAGCAGGAGGAGGAGGAGGAGGAAGGGAGGAGGAGGGAGGAGGAGGGAGAAGGGAGGAGCAGCACAGCAGGAGGAGCAGGAGCAGCAGCAGCGCCCGCGCCCCGACGCCAGGAGGCGACCGCCTTCCTGCGCGGCTCCGCCGCCTGAGCGGGGAGCCCCCGGCCGCGCGGGCGCGACCTGGCCGCCCGACGGCTGCACGGCGGGAGAGGGCACCAGCGCGCCTGGGGTCCTGGAGGCCCGGGCGTTGCGTCAGGGTCAGGGGCAACGATAGGGGGGGATTTAGTCGGGGCCCTGAAGAAGGAACCCTTTTCGTTGGGGAGGGGCTCCGTGTTCCTTAAGTGTTTCACAGCTTGCCTCGGGTTTTCCTTATTTTTTCGATGGGGAATCGAAGGTTAACTTATGGAAAAAAGTGGCCTCGTTCCTTATTCAGGGTTCCGTAGGTCAACGCCCCGACTGTAGGCACAGGGGGGGATGCATCGACCCCCAATCGCCCATGGATCGCCGATAGGGGCCCGATCGCCCCAACCTGCCCAGGAAGGTGCGGATTCACTATCGGAGGCCTGTCGCCGATCTATCGGCGATGTATCGCCGATTCCAGGTCGATGCTTCCCCCCCTATGCCAGTCCCCCCCTATCGTTGCCCCTCACATGGAGGGCCGATAATTCTCGGATGTTGCTAGATGCGCCCCTGGCCCAAGGTGCCCCCAGCTGTTCGCTCCATTTTGGAGCCCCCGGGGCCCTCTGGGGCCTCGTGAGGGGTGCTCTGGGGGGCCGTGGGGGCCTCCATGGAGATCCTGGGGGCACCTTGGGCCAGGGGCACTTCTGGCAACACCCGAAATTCGGACGGGGCTAAGACCGAAGGCATTCTAGATGGGGTCCGAGAGTGGATGGGGTCGGAGGATCGCGCCGCATCGCCGATGCATCGCCGATGCGGTTCGATGTGGAGCCCGATTTGCTTCACGTCGACGTCGCCGATGCATCGCCGTCGTCGACGATGCATCGCCGGCGCATCCCCGATGCATCGGCGATGCGGCGCGATCCGTCGACCACATCTACTCCTACCCCATACAGGAGGCCTCTAAAGATGAGGACCAATCCGTTCCAGAGCGCTCTCAGAGCGTGCTGGAACGCTCCGACACGGCCGCGGCGCTCTATGTCGGTCCGGTGCTGTCTCGGTGCTGCCTTCGTCTTAGCAGCGGGGCGGTGAGTGCAGAAGAGCAGAGGGCACGGCAGAAGCCTCAACTTCTGGAGCCCCGCGCGGACTCTTCTGGATCGGCGCCGGGCCTCTGCTCCCTGGGCGGGGGCGATGCACCTCGGAGGACAGGGAGCGGCACGAGCACGACGAGTCTCGGAGCTGCGCGCGAAGTCCCCTGGCTCGGCGCCGGGCCTCCGCCCCCCGGGGGGGGGGGCGCGGTGCGTGCCGAAGGGCAGGGAGCGGCACGGGCACGGCAGGCTTCGGAGGCCCGCGCGGAGGTCTCTCGGAGCGGCGCGCTGGGCCCCCGCGCCGCGCGGCTGCCAGGCAGGGGGGCCCAGGCCCTAGCCGGGGAGGTCCCACGCAGAGCTCCAGCAGCTGGTGTGTGTGTGTCGGGCAGGTGTTTTCAGGCAGCGGCGAAGCATCCTGGCTCGCCTACAGGCCTACCAAGCAATGTTCTAAGAACCATTTGTGGCTTCCACGAGATGTTCTTAGAACATTTCTGGCGGAGTCTGTCTTGTTTTATCACGTCGGGTGTATAGTCTAAGGACATTGTTTTTGTTCTTAGAACATTCGGGGGTTATAAAATCGTTTCGTGGTAGGACTATAAGAATGCCGGGACAGTCGGTCCCTGCTCAATTGTTTTGTTTCCAGCAATGTGGGGGGGGGGGGGGGAAGACGGTGAAAGCTCTTGCGCCCTAGATCATGAATCAGGCGATCGCAAACATGGATCACAGGGGGCGTGGATGAGCGACGGGTCCCGTTTCCATAGGGGAATCGCAGACTTCCGCCGCCCCAGAGGAGGCGGCACGGGCCGCACTTTGGGGAGGGCGCCTCCCCCGATCAATGGATTTGGCGACCGCGCGCTAAGTCCATGGATCGCTAATCCATTTTTGCGCCCACCCGAAGTAAGCATCATGTAACGCCTAACCCTAACATCACGATGAGTTCGTGGTCTAACTTTGGTAATCGCGTTGTTAGGGTTATCCCGAAACATATGGGTGCCATCGTCTGAGACATCTGCAACAACATGTCCCCCATATCCCTGATTTGCTTGGTCCTCCTAACATCTGTCCCCTCCCAAATAAGTAGGGGTGCATTCCTTGCTTATCACTAGATGGGGTCCTAAATGGGCCCTCTGGAGCTCCAAGGGGGGTACGAA